TGATTTTAGGAAGTCAGTGAAAATGAAAAGTCTTGGGATTTTTATTATTAGCACTGAAAGGAAATGTTCATCTTAGAGTACTCTGTATATTTTAAGACCCAAACTAGAATATGTTAAGCAATTTAAAACAGCTTCTAAATTTCTTATAATTTAATCCTACAGAAAGCTATGAAAGTAAGCAGCTGTGGACTTGTACACAAAATAAAGAAAAAGCTGACTTTTATTCACCTGTAGAGTGAGAGTATGAACAATCAAAATTATCCCTGGGCTCAGAATGTTTATTTAAAGTTATGTAACCAATAACATTTTAAAAAAGGTAATTTCTTGCCTCCCTTTGTGTTTCTCTTGTTTTATCTAAGGTGTCATGATCTGCACCGGAAACTGATTTAAGTATATTTATAAACTGCAATTAATACACCTCCGTAACTCAGAGTATTAGCTCTTTCCAGTCATTTTTTTATCTATTTCACTGCTTTTAAAATTTTAAATTCCTTGGATCATTTCACCAATACCAAAAATACTGGCCTGGTAGAATATACAACAAGCCGACATTGGGTTCCCAAGAATATGTTGCCTCAAGGAACTGTTCAGTTTATGCACACTATATAATACTTTCTGTATGTTAACTCAAAATAATTCTTAATTAGTTTTAAATAGGTTGTAATTTTCTGATGAAAGCCAGACAGCTGTTTACCGTTCACAAATCAAAGAAAGACCTGGCTCCATCTGTGGTCAAAATAATTAAATCATGCCCTCATATCAGTAGAGAGGATATCGAAATATCCTCACTAAATTGGGTCTACAAAAGGTACTGAAACAAGAAATGATTTGCATTTTTTTTAAGGGCACTTTACAAAATATGTTAAATATATGTAGCTGCCCCTTGCCCACCTGTCTTTCTTTCTGTAGTTTGTTCTGCTTTTTTATTGGAAGTGTCTGGATCTACACAAGACAAAGTACAACAGTGACGCGTTTATATATCTCTAAAGGCTACAGATAGAAATAGAGCTAGTTGTACAAACAGTCCCAGTAGATTTATGGTATTAATTTCACCACGTTGTATGAAAACACGTTACACGTTGGCGGCTGCTGTTTATTTGTTTTGCTTTTTTATCTGAAGTTCCTGGATCTTAATTCAGAGGATGAAATACAAAAATGTAATAACATATTAATTCCCATAACAGCTGGTGATGAGAATAGACAAAGCTTTTTCTGGCACACTAAAAAACAGGTTCACATGCATACCTATTGCTTTCTCTCCTTCTTTTCTTCTCTCGGTTCGCTCTGTTTTTTCATTTAAAATGTTTGGATCTATTCAAGATAGAAATAAGATTCATACTCATGCGGTCACAACCAATAAAGAAGCGTTCATGAAAAAAAAATCAAGAGGCATTTGAAAAATAGAAAATTCAAGCAACAGAAAAAAACATATAGCCATATGAATTAAATAATTAATACAGTGGCATGAATTCCATTATGTTTTAACATCGTGTCATTTTGACGAAAACTTAATTTGGTCAAAATGAATTTTTTGGCAACACCATTACTTAAGAAAAATATTAAACTGATCACGCACTTAAGAACATAGATTGTCAATTTAAGTCATTTGATAGTTTTACTTCAAAATTTTTTCATGCCCCAAATTCATTGATATTAGTGTTTCTTACCATTTGTTGCCTGTAATTACTGCCTGGCCCCATTCTTACCCCTTGAAAACATTCTTATGGCACAAATTGCACACCTGCGTTTAACAGCTCCCCGTCTTCACTTTTGGGAGATTGTACGCCATCTACTTTGAGAACTGCTTTCAGAGCATCCTTCAGAGTTGTGTTGTCTAATAATTGAATATTTCTGCATCATGATCAGATTATGTCCACAGAGATACAGAGATCCCAGTAAAAACTCACGTCCACAGAGGACTCAGTGAATATACAATATACATCTCACTTTTGAGGGCAACACATTAATCAACACAGTGGTTTTACTACACATACACAAAGGGTTTTTGTAATTATAAACATTACTTAGTAGGTTGAATTCAACATAATGTTTAGAATGAAACATTTTTAACAATGATGAAAACTTGGAAACTGAAAAGGCTTTCATTTTCTGGGAACTGTGAATTTTATATGCGCAGATCAGACAAATTATCTCACCAGTTGATGCTCATAATGGAAGGTTATCCAATACACACAAACAATTTCCACTTATGAGAAAATTTGATTTATTTGAGCAATTAGGGTCAAATTGACTTCATTACTTGAAATTACATCTGAGCCTATTCACAGACTTTCCAGTTGGAAGTAAATTTCTTAGTATTGAAGCATTTTGAGGTAAACTATGCAAAAACAACATTAGGAAAAAAATGCATACCTGTCAAACGAAGATTTAAGGGAATTTCATTTTGATCAGTGATTTTCACTAACTCAAGGATCATCTTCTCAAATTTCTTGCACTCTTTCTCCCACGAATACTTTAACTTATATTGCTCTCTAAGCCGCAAGGCAGTAATATGTCTGTCTCTTCGTGTCTGTTCTGACAAACGAAAGATTCTATTCGCCCATTCATCAGATACATCTGTTTTGACAACCACAGACATCCCATTCTCTAAGTCTTGAAGGGCTTTGGCAATTCCAGTTTCACTGGAGACAAGAACAGGCACACCAGCTGATATTGCCTCCAGCGCAACCAAACCAAAGCCCTCTGTGCGGGACGGCATGACGACTAAGTCCGCTTCACGTAACATTGTTTTAATTTGTTCATAACTGCAGAGGCCACGAATGGTTAACTGGTTACGTGATATTTTGGTTTCCTCCAGAAACCACGTTTCTATCTTCCGTTGTTCATCTTGTGCCGCACCGACAAATGTGAGCTCAAATTTTCTTTCCAGAGAAGCCACAGCCTTTCCAACGATGTCATATCCTTTGAGGGAAAAGTCCTCAAAGCTTCCACGACCGAACATAAATATACTGAAGTCTTCCTCTGATAATTCACGCTCGGATTGCGTTGCAGCCGGATTGATATACTCTTCGAAAATCCCTGGAGTAATGACCTCTACTTTAATATCTGGCAGGCTTCTTTGATATTTTCTTTGTAGTAGAGAGCCTACTGCAACAACTAACTCAGATGCTCTGCAGAGTTCGAGTTCTTGTCTGTTCTTCTCTTCGTTATCTGCAATCGCATCTGCCGTGACGCTACATTCCAATTTGTGTTTTCCAAGAGCTTCGCAATTGACATGCACGAAATGTATCCAACGGCAGTTTGTGATCATTTGAATGAAATAAGCGGCACTACCAAATTTCCTCCCGTGGGACACCACAACATCAGGATTTAATCTATCTGACGGCGGAGTTTTTAGCCAATCCAAGGGATCGCTAGATCCTGGAGAGCGCTTAGCGGTGATAAGATTCACTCCTTTACTGCTTGCATCTTGCCTTTCCGCTTCGCTGCTTTCAGATACGTAGCAGTGAACCTTGATTCTGCCGTTTGATATATTCGCTAGATTCACAGCTAGCTCTCTATTGAATGTTGAGAGTCCTCCCTTTTTAGAGCCCCACTCACTACAGATGAACATAACATCGATGCACGGAGAGACAATGTCACCGAGATCAACCTCTAACTGCAAGCTAGGAAGTGGCTTCGCTCTTGATGTATCGTCCTTTCCGCGCTTGATTGTGATTTGCAACACTTGATTTTGTCCATCTGTGTTCACATCGCTTGGCTTCAAAGTTGTAGAGGCTGCCTTCCCCATTTATAAGTCTCGATAATCAACCAGAGATGATATATCAAAAGCACAACTCCTACTTCCGCATCCACGAAAAGTGACAAAATGATAGCTAATGACGTCAAATAGGGCGGCCCCCACCTCTCAATGCTTTGTTCGAGGAAAAAAATTTTAGGAAGATATTTATCTTTACTTAATCGCGTTCGAAAAACAACTCGCTTCTTTTCCTTATAACTCAAAATGTATTCAGTGGGGGATGTGTTGACGACTTGTTCGCTTTCTTTTTCTTCAAAAAGCTGTTCGCAGAATTTCTTAATAGGGAAAGGAAGGCTTTTACTTCAAAGTGTTTGGAGTACACACTTTCCTTTCCTTTTTTTTAAAAAAAATTGTTACTTATATTACCCTTGCAAAGAAAGGGGGTGACATACTTTCTAAGAGCGGTGGAAATGAATCGTGTCGCTTCCGGGCTCACTGTGACGGAATGATCGTATGATATGTCTGATATGTCTATTTTGGATCTTTAAGTTAACCACTAATTACCCTGCTAATGTTATTCAGTCACTGGATGACGTCAAGAGACAATCGAGGTATGTCTGAGATTGATGCAAATGGCTTGAACATTGTCAGAGATATCAACTGCTGGTTAAGATACGAGATTAAAAATGGACGTGTTGGGTACTCTTCTAGAAACGCGGGATGTACTTAACAATATAGCGGCACTTTCAAAGAGGACTGCCGAAACTAGAAATTTAAGAAAACTTTCTGAGAGAAAAACAGTAACACTTATCACCATTCATGCGTAGTTTCTAGATACTTCAGGGTCATCGATAACACTTCTTGTTCTTGAACTTCCAGCTGTACGACAACAAGAAAAGTTCGCCGTAGAAACTGCTTAAACTTAGAGAGAACCGTCGATCGCGCAGCGCTGATAGTCCTGAAAAGAGCTAATGTCCATGAAAGTGATGGGCACCAGTTCCAATGTCTCGCTGAGCGGAATGGAGAGGAAAATTGTTATCACTTAAAATCAAATTCCCTTTCCCAGACAATCATACTACGCTATCAGCATTAATATATTTACTTCTCAACTAATTTATTTATTAATCCTAGCTTTATTAAGGTGGTTTTAAATTATGGATTCTTCTATGAGTAACGTTTAAAACCCTTTTAGTTTGATTTTGATGGTTAAAGCTTCTAAATACGTTGAGTTTACTGATTGTAGATTAAAAATACAATCCTATCCTAGTCAGCGGTATATCAAACAGCTTACGACCTTCGTCGTTGTTCTAAATGTTTTGAGCAAATTTTAGAAGATAGGGAATGTTTCGTCTTCGGATGAACTGTATGAGGTCAGCATCAGTTGAAATTATATTCTATTGAGCGTGGCTTATAATTTCAATGTGGGAAAATGAGCGAAAATTGAAAGAAACGACGCTAAACTACTTTGCATAAGACATCCTGGTCGATTTAAGAATTTACACGTGAGTACGGAGAGTCAGTAAAACGCCAGAATCGCATGGCCTTCTCTTATATCTTCTCTTGAAGTTGCCAGGTGCGATTGCTTGCCCCACCGCTATTCCCTAACGGTTCAACCTCCTCTATTTAGCGTAGAAACTTAAAAAGAAAAGTAATATTCAACTCTTGTTTGAACCTGTAATTTTTCAAATTACTTCTTCGCTTTTGGCTAATTTTGTGTCATGATTGTTCTCTGGCTTGAAATGCACGACGTCTTTTTGAGATTTTTTTTCTGTTATTTACTCCGGTAGCCTGTGTTGTAATCGCACATCATGTGGGTGTCTTTAAGGAAACTTGAGATAATACCTGGATTTCACTTTTACATCATAGAAATCAATTCCAAACATCAATCAAGTTTTCTCTTCAGTTTGAGAGTTAAGTTGATGTTTTTACTGGTTTTATTAAATAGGTTGAATTTACTGGAAGGTGGAGCCGTTGCAACATGTTAACATGAAGTGCAACAATAAAATTTATTGATATATAAAAAGTTTTCATTTGACTATCTACTGGCAAGTAGACCATTTTCCACAACTTTTATACACTATTACAAAATAATTATTCAGGAAAATGGAAAACTTGTGACATATACACCATGTTTGAAATGCCATGTCCATAATAAGCTATTAACAGGATTGAGGAGGACGTATGTGGGAATAGACTCTCTTGCCTGTATCATTAATATGCTTATCACTCCTGTTGGCAGATTTGATGAGTTTGGGCTGTCAGGGCAAAGGAACTGAGGATTTTAGAAGGAAGTGACTTTTTCAAACCTGGAAGCTACCATTGTGAAAGCCATACTAGTGCCTGGTAACTCATTCTTATTTTGATAAACTAGTTTTAGAAAGGATACAATAGTTTATGACATGGACTTGGTGCATAGGCTGTGAACAAAACTTTAATTTGACTATACTTTTATAGCCAATACCAGTCCCTTCACATATTAAATTATTAGCAGGATCAGAGGAAAAAAATAATATGCCATACATCTGCAAGATTTCATGTAATTATTTAACTGATACTAGTAGATCTAATAATATTCAAAAGAAAGTAAAATTTGGTCAAAAATTAGAAATCAGCATGGGCTGGATAAACAAGATTCTTGGAAAAAGAAATGTGTGCTAATGCAAAACTAAGCAAACTTTTTTATAACACCTGCATGTTCCTGTGCAGCACGTAGTAAAGTCTTTTGAAGTAGTTATAATCTCAGTTTCATAATATGTTAAAAACACATGAACATGTAGATTTCCTAAAGACCAGTAGTTTACGCGTGCAATTCCCACCCTTTAAAACTCACATATCTTGAGACCAGTTCCTTATTTTAATGCTTAGTTTGGGTATGACCATTGATAAGAAACACCATGCATTAATGAAAGCTTTATCTAGTGCATTAAATGCAATCTAAATAATCATATTTCATGTTAGATTGTGGTAACTTACACAGCAAAATTATATAATCACACAATTCCAAACAAAGGAATCAGGTTATATTGGCTCACCTGCTTTAACTTTTGAAGGCTTAAGGTACAGAGAAGTAGATATGGTGAACAATTATAATTAATACAAAGTTGAAAGTTTGAATGCCAAAAGATGTACATTACAATCATCAGGCCTTATTGCATCCTTGCCAAAATAGGGTCAATTACCATCATAACTTCTCCTAAATGTTCATGCTCACAAGAAATCATTAATTTTTGTCACTAGGTGGTACCGTACTTACAGTAGTTCTACAGACATAAATGCTTTTTTCTATCTTCAGTTTGATCATCCTGTTACATGTGAAAACATCGAATGTTACGCACATATTCAAATAATTACCTAAATCAAAAGTTATAATTTTTATAATAACCTGCTTTTTTGTGCTCCAGAAAAACTAAATGGTATTTAACAGAAAGGAAGAGAGTTCTTGAAACATTCTATGTTAAATGAAACTCTCTTATGAATGTTAATTGTGATGGCAATAAAAACATCAGTGAAGCTATAATAACAATTACCTTTCCATGTAAACAAACCATCATGAAGCATGATATGAATAGATTAAATCTCACCCTGTTTGAATGTAGAATCCAAAACCTAATTAACTTACTGGTGAATAGGAGAAAGCTCAATGTGTTTTTCCTGCTTCTGTCATTCTAAATATCACAAATCAGTCATGCCACCACTAGCTTCAGTATGATTTTTTTGATGATGTGTACTTTTTCTTTTGGACATCTATTTTTAGTATCTATCTTTTACTGGCTGACATCTGAGAAGAATTCAAGTCCACACTGGCAATTTGACACATTGCAGGCAAACACTACAACTGATGAATCTTGTAACTCCCATGAGTGACTAGGACAGAATTTCTCCTTACAATATCAATACAATATCAACCAGATAAGTGATGAGAATAAAAAAAACTAATAGTAAGTAAGGGGATAATTAGTTGATCCAACACTAAATTTTCTGAACTAACAAGAATTGTATGGTTGACAGAAAGGAGGATCACAAATTTGATCTAGGAGTTAAAGAGTTAAATTTTATTTGATCGAATACATTAAAGGCAATAGAGGAAATAAGCTAGCACAATTCAAGTTTCCCTTCAGTTAAGGATATTCTTTGATGTTTTTTCTACCTTATGGCAAAGTTTACAGTTTCCCTCATTTCACTGTCTCCAGTTCATTTTGTTTGTTTGCTTTCCTGAACAATCTTGACTATTGTTGCCTACAAATGCAAGGAGCATATAAATGTGTACAGGTACTAACATTTTAATGCCTGAGAGTGACTAGTATCTAATTTCTCCTTTCAGATCACCCCTGAATGAAATATTGAGGTCATGAGAATAGAGAAAATGAAGTAATCAACAGAATTAAGAACCTCTTGATTGTTAAACAAGTTCTCCTTGCAAGCGCATTAGGAAATGCATAGAGAACATTATGGAATATATGCATACTGATGTTAGGGTGTAAAGGGTTAAAGACATCATGTAATTAGTATGTGTAGAGTATTGTTTGAATATATGATTGCAGTCAGTGCAAGTGCTTGTAAGTAAACATCATTCTATGGTCTTCTAATCTTCCACCTTAGAGGGTGCTATGTGTAAAAAAATATATTAATTTTTAAAGGCACCTCTACATTGGTAGGTACACACATTACTTGCATGTATGAGTGATTAGCATGTCAAGCATTAAGGTATGATTCTAAATTTGCTTTTTATTACTTGCAAACTGCTCATTTCTATTAGCTTTGAAAACTTAATATGTATCCTGGCTTTCAAAGAAAAGCATTTCCCATGAAAATTGAAACATTTAAGACATAAGCTACCAGCAACAGGTTTTTCCATTATAAGTGTTTCTTAACATCAGATTCTAATCACATTTTTTGTTACATTTGAAAGCATAAGAATAATTTAATCATTACAATATCATGAAACCCCCCATTTTAAACCTTTTAAGTCCCACTAGTGACCTACACAGAATTTCTCCTCACATCATCAGTATGATATCAAGTAGACAAGTAATGAGAGTAAAGAAAAATATCAATTAGGGGATTATCAGTTGATCCAATTCCAAATTCTCCAATTTAGAATCACATAAATTGCATGGCTGACATTAGTGAGAAATACTCCAGAAATCTTGGGAATTAAGGGTTACGACACACATGGTAGTCATGTACCAGAAAAACAGCAAATAAACATAACATTATACTCCAGTATAGTGTTCTTATGTAGAATGAAGTTTCAAACTCATCAACATTAAGTTGACTTCATGATTCAGATTATAGATAAAGAAATGTGTAATATCTCTTTACAGTTAGGATGAAGGGAATGCCATGTAAGAATTTTAAAATAGTAAAACTGCCAAAACTTAACGATGGAATCGAAAAAAGCTACTGAAATATGGCATATCCATTCAATGAGGTTTTAATCATTAGTGTTCTTATGTAGAATGAAGTTTCAAACTCATTAAAATTAAGTTAACTTCATGATTCAGATTATAGATAAAGAAATGTGTAATATCTCTTTACAGTTAGGATGAAGGGAATGCCATTTAAGAATTTTAAAATAGTAAAACTGCCAAAACTTAACGATGGAATCGAAAAAAGCTACTGAAATATGGCATATCTATTCATTGAGGTTTTAATCATTAGTTGCCACACAGATATAAAGAAGGCTTTGTGAAAAAAACCAGGGCAATAAAATCAAAGATTCAGGAGAGGCATATGACATTAATTGGTTAACTGATTGTCTCGCCTGAAATCAATGTGGAAAGAGAACTCTGCAACACTTCTTTTTTATCTTGAATTAAAACATGAAATTTAATTATTTGCGGGCAGGTTAAGGAGGAAATTATAGGAATGCATACATGTTACATGAAAAGGAACCCCTCGAAATAAAATAAAGCAGAAGCGTGTTGCCTATGCTTCTGAATTGACAGCTATAATATGTATTTTTCAAGTAATTATCTACATATGCAAACTGGGTGCAATATACGGTCATAAAAGCAATTTTATTATAACCTTCCTCCTTGAAGATTGCCTTGTGTATCAAATATATCAAGTTCAGTAAGTTTCCTGGAAAAACTGGATCAAGGATCAAGGATTACCGGACCAAGGATCAAGGATTATGGATCAAGGATCTGTTCAAAATGAATGAAATAAATTAATAGGCATGAGTGATGGCTCATCTACGGGACTCAGTGAAGATCTCTCTCTGTTGACAGACGGGCGTTGTTTTTTAGCCCTTCCCCTAAGATAAGAAACTGTCTATTCTTGATTCCAGTGTAGTTTCCAGGCATTTTCAATGCATAGACAACGCAAACTTCTGAAATTTTATTCTTTCGCTAGAGAAATGAAAATAGAGGGTTTTTTTGTCATTCACACAAACCTTTCTTCTGCACTGAGACATTTGTAGACACGGCCAAAGGACAACAAAATCCCAGGTTCTCGAAAACTGCTCTTGAAAACTGCTCCCTTCAGAGATTGATTCTTCAGTTTCCAGCATTACGAAAAAATAATCGTATCACAAGCAGTTCATCATAACCCGAGCGGTAAGTACGCCTCAAGATGTTGAGCGAAGAGAAAATGGCTCCATATTTTGTGACAAACAATTCCTGAAGTTCGAACAAATCGAGTAGAAAGAAAACATAGCGCTGAAAAGTACGACAACCAATCAATGAAATTCACTCATTCCGCTGTAGCATCATCTCCATTTTACCCGAGAGTTTCTTTAAACCACACGTTTGACGGGTCCATTGCAGAATGTAGATCGTTCACAGGGGAAGCGTTAATGAAAACCTCACAGCTTGGGACAAATTTGACATGTGAGTCTTTTGTGTTCTAGTTTTAAGTTCTACTGACCAATAAAAACACATTAGATGACCGACGTGTGATGTGTTATCACGTTTACATGGCATGTAGGAGCAACCAGGTATCTAACTGGCTGGGTGATTGAACAGTTAAAATATTGAAAGTTCTGAATCAAACGTAAACCTATGAACCAAATTTATCCTTTTTTGGAAACCAAATTTTAAATCACCATCGAATAAAAGCAATTACTATATGCAATAACTTGATTTCGAGTGCAATGAAAAATGCATTAGTTTTTTAGCCATTCAGGCTCGCCTAATTATTAGTATTAATAATTAATTCAAATCCGTTGAATCACATTCATTCAAACTTTGATGGTTGCAGTGCCTCAGGAAACAAAGCTGAAAAAAGAAGCTGTTTTGCTCTTTATTTCAATGTGTTCTCATGTTTAAGTCCCAAAAATGCAAGGACGAAGATAAGTGCATATTTTCGTGCAAAATGGAATAAAATAAGTTAAATATGTTAAATGTCCTACAAACATTTTTGCAACACGCGGGAAAAAATGTGGATCTACAAACAGCATAATGTTCCCTAAGTGAGATGTTCAGTTTCAATAAACAAACAATCACGTCCCTTCTTCTGTAACAACCACAAATCTTGGATTAAATTTTAAATGAAGACTTTTCATAGTGGGTGTAGGGTTTGAAAATTGGAGACTGTCACTTGGATGAAATCCTCAGATATTTCCCAGTTTTATCAGGAGCATATTCGGTCGCTTAGTTCGAGAGGGGCGCTTGTTTGACATTATGGCCTACTATGGAGTCGCTACTTAATCAGGGGTGGGCGCATTTTCGTGGGTGGGCACTTATTTGAGGAAATACAGTAACTGTAAATGGTTAATCGGCTGAGCCTCAATGGGGTATGACCTTATCATAGTGCTCAGTAGAAAATAGTCAATTTTGGGTTTCCTTCAATCTCTTCAACGTGGGTGTCTTTGTGACCTCAAAAAACTCCATACTTCGTTGTTTTCCGTGGATTGCAATTTGAGGAGATTAACTCTTCGTATCTTTATTGAAGTTGTCCTACAATATAAAGGATATAGTGTCTACCCGAAGATATACCAATCCTTGTTATTGTCGAGATTGTCGCCACTGTTGTATCTTTTAATTCTTCCAACCCTTGTTTCAGCAGGGTGGTTTGGGAGACGAGGTTTATTATTAGCAAAGCACGTTTTCATCGAAAAATATACAGCTCCCTCTTCCCTCTCCCCAACTTGGATCCGTCATCTTGGCTTCATAATTGCTTCGGTTGTGCCGTTTGTTTCCTTTTTTGTTTGGTTATTTATTTATTTTTTTTTTTATCTTTTAATTGCTTTACATCTACCTTTTCTCTTTAAATCATCGCGTTATTAGCGCGAAAATCATATTTAAAGAAGCTGAAGAAATTCGATTTTGTTTCTTTGATCGATAATTGCTTTTACAGTGAAGAAATGCACACACAATATACTGGAGAACCCTTTTTTATTGTTAATTTTGCACTAAGTTTCCAGTTTCAACTACGATGTAGCAACAGCTTGGAATTGAAGTTTATAAGAGAGTTTATAAGAGAGTTTTTTTTCGAATGTTGATAGCTCATTGTACGCGCCCGTGGTCTTGCAAGTAAATTTGTGGAGAAAACAGTTGCGAATCCAATAGAAAGGTTTCAAAGACGTTGTGGACTCACCAGGCACAGCCGTGTGAGTTCGTAACAAATTTTGACCACTGTTATGACGAATATCGTTTCGATAAGAGTGCAGACCACGCTAATCCACGGCCGTTTTGTTTTTACCACTATGTCGACGTCAAATAAAACATTTGTTTCAGTGCGTGACAATAGCGTGACAAGTTGACAAGCAGCGCAAAATAGTCTCAACAACGTACCGTTTTTACCATTTTCAAAGATCAGGCAATATCATTTCCATAATGTGGTAAAGCATGGAGACATTTCACAGAAAGAAAGTAATAATCTTAAGATATTTAAAAGAAAAAGGAATATATCTGCCTGTTGGTAGAGACGATGATTCCTTAAAAGGGCAAGCATTGATTGACAATGTGCACT